TGACGCAGGTGGAGTTCTAACTGGTCTGTTGCTCACTCCTGTCTGTGTTTGACACCTCTGTGCAGGAACCAGCTGAAAGCGGAGTACTTGATGTCGATGGAGAGCTCAGAGGGGCTGCTTGAGGAGATTGGTGCTCAGGCTCTCACCGCTGGAGTGTACCAGGCCCCTGACGCTGTCCTCAAGGCTATAGATGCCATCACCCAGAATGATGTGGTTAAGGTGTGTGCTTTCAGTGAGATTTTAATAGCATGACTTAACAAACAGCTGCAGAAGAACAAGCTAGCTGTTAGAAGTGATTATTGCAGTCTAGAGTACAGTTGTGGTCAGACGTTTACATCAACTCATTAAGGGAATGAATGTCATGTAATTTGGGGCTTTTAATGATTTCTTTGAACTGGGTGGAATGTTTGTAAAGCATACATCTTTACATACATTGAATCTATATATCATCCTAAAGACTTTAAAAATACTTATACAGGGCTCTAGAGTGCGACTAAAAAAATAAACAACTGTTCGGGTAACAAATAAAATAAAAAAATCTCTGCAACTCTCCGTGTGGTGAACAACAGACACACATTATGCCCCTATCGTGGACTAAACCAATCAGAGACAGTCAGGAGCGGGACCTCTCTGATTGGCCGTGGTCCAGTTGAAAGTGCAGGTGGAAGTGGGAGGTGAGTAGCTTGAATAAAGCGATATCGATTCATTAAATCCTGAATTGACTTTAAAATATAACTGTGTTTTGCCAGAAATGCCAGATTCTCAGATTAAAGCTCATAAAACTATTTCAACAACAACCAAACTGCAAATGAGAGCAGGTACACGCACTCCACACAAAGACGTAAACACAGAACGGACCGACGCATCAGAATCAGCTTTGTCTTTCTCGGCTTTCTCACCCGACGGCCCGTAGACGGACACGCTGTCGGAGCTTAGCGATTCTGATGCGTCGGTCCGCTCTGTGTTTACGTCTTTTTGCGCTGATTCTGAGCTGCAGGTTTTGTGTCTCTCCAACCAAAATTCACCGAGCCAGCTGCAAAAGAAGCAGCAAACTGTGCTTCACATTTGATAAATGTCGTCATGAATTCCCTCTGACTTTTGCTGTTTTGCTTCCACCACAATAAAAATCACACTTCATGCACAGCTCTCTCGCTCTGTACTTCAAGAACAGTTTCCTGTCTCAAATCTCTGTTTTCTACATTATTCATTCGCTTATTACCCACCAGTCCACCGTTGTTTACAGCGCTGTCGGCCACTGTCTTTTTCTTTTCTTTTTCTTTTCTTTCACTTAAATGACCTTGGACAAGAAAGCCTAATTTCTGCTGTTCAATACTGAAGAAATTTAAACTTTTTAAAATTATGCAAAATTGCAGAATATTGCAGAATATTTTTAAGGTTATCTGCTATAAAAAGCCAGACCAGAAAAATCTCCTTCATGTTTTTCTGTGTTTTATTCTCAGTTACTTTCACACAAAGGCATCTGCTGTGATGTTCACAATTCTGATGAAGTCTCATGTGTATCAGTGCTGATAAATGATCAGAGTTATAATATTTCTGACTGTCTGAGGCTAAATTGAATCGAATCAGGACTTTGAGAACCGGAATCGAATGGATTTTAAAAATCAGTGATGATACCCAGCCCTAGTGAGCAGCCTTGGCCCGACAGAAGTGGATGTAGCTGTGGGTAATAAGAAAAAATGAAAAGAACGATTGATAACTTTTTTGTTAAGTTAAGGCCTGATCCGTCTGAAATTCATAGCCAGTGCTCTGACACGGTGCCATCAATCTTTGAATGCTGAAAAAGCACAGTGTATCCAGAAAACACATTATATGCTGCAATAAATGCACTGCCCAAGTGTCCCCTCTCCCCACGGCCTGTCAGCAGCATGCAACAGCAAACAGGTCGTCAGAGGAGGCCGAGATGATGATTAAGTTTAACATTTTCTACAATATTGACAAAGCACTTTAAGCACAAGATTGTTAGTTAATAATTTAGAAAATTATGGCCCATGGCACTAACTTTTTGCCATGGGCGCACGGCAAAAAGTTAGTCTAGAGCCCTGCTTTATATATACAAATACTTGCATACACCCCTATTAATATTTGGTAAATGTCCCTTAGCAAGTTGCACCTCAACAAGTTGCTTTTCATCATTAACAAGCTTCTGGTATGATTCTGTGGGGACCGCTCTTCCTTGGTTCCTTAGACTTTTCCATTATTCTGAGTAGTGGTCAGTCCAGTGAGTGCTGTTAAACAAATCCTTTCTATGTTGGCAAAGAGAAACTACCAGCTGTAGTCAGTCTCCCTCATTAGTTCACTAACGAGAAGTTAATAGGCGTTATCAAATGAAAAGGCATTGTAGAACCTTCAGCACCACTTATTAAAAGTTATTTTTAAGTAAGTATTTGAGGTTATATTCATACTTTTGACCCTGTGTGGATTAGAGAAAATCCAGAATAACTTGAAATAGTCATTAAAGTATACTGTACAATCATTCCACCCTGAAAAAGTTTTAAAAAGTCATTAAAAATGACCATGACATCCATGTCCCTGTAAATTTCTGACCACACTTATATACATGTGGTTTTTAGATTCAATGCATGTCAAATTTAAACCCATTTGATGGATTTTATATCTGATGTCGTGTCATTGTTACATTACTGGGTTGCAGTGGCAGCAGTCTTACCTTTATGTACCCCATCTGTAGTAGAGCGGGGGTTGGAGTCATAAATCATCCAGTAAAGGCTCACTAGTTTGTTCATGTCCAAATAAAACAACAGTTCATTAAGAAGCGATGCAATAGATCATGTTGACAGTGCGTTTTACTGAAGGGCTTTTGGGATTATACAGATCATTACAGAGTAAATATTGTTTTAGTTTCACATTTGAACCTCATTTCAAATAGAAACACTGTAGTTCCTCTGAGCACTGGTGGCAGCCTCAGTTTGAAAATATATCCCTGAAGACTATACTAACAGAAACAAAAAGTTATTAAATTATGCGTGCAGGCTATTTATTCATATGTTTAAACTTGCATTTGTGTTTAGTCGCTGCGTGGGGTTCTGTGTAGTGTCGGAGCTGCGGCAGGGCTTCGGTGGACTATAAATACTGGGATATATTTGGAAATATTGCCCGTCAGTGAATTTGCTCTGTTTTCTTTACAGGCTGCAAAGAAATTTGTGGATGGCAAGAAGACCATGTCAGCTAGTGGACACCTCATTAATACACCATTTGTGGATGAAGTATGAAAATGCACATAAGAATAATAAGAACAGTTGATTTTTCTTTCTGCTTGGGCATGCTGTGCCTGGATGTTGCCTCCTGCAGCAGTTCATTGGATGTCACCTGTCATTTGTAGTTTGTCCTGCAATATGTGTGAGCACCAACAGAGAGATGCAGAATTGTAATGTCTGTTGTGGGGGAGAGGGTGGATTCATCAGTGTAACTGTACATCAGTGTAAATTAAAACAATTACAGTAAAACACTTGGGTTGTTGCTTGATTTTGCATTTTTGAATGACAAGTTTCTGGCATGTGTGCCGTGCACAAGTGCGGTCTTCTGCATGAGATTGATGATTCCACACCATCATCTTGAAGAGTGCTTGGTTTTGGATGACATTAGCACTATGTGCCAACACTGGCAGCAAAAAGCTGTTATTTTAGGTAATGAGCACTTTAGCACCAAGAGGTTTTGTTTCATTCATCAGCCAGTGGGGGGACCCAAAAGCGCACAAACATAAGTTGACGTTTGAGGGTTGTCTTGTAGATCGTCAGTAAAAGAGCTAATATCATACTGGCAATAAACTGGGTTTCATTTAAAACATAGAAGCCCTCTACAGTAAAGGCCTAAGCCATCTCTACTTCCTGAGATGACTGAGGTTGTTTAACATCTGCCAGCTCTCATCATGCGCTCAACATTTTTCTGTAATTTAACAAATGCATTATTTTATGCCCCCCGTGTATTCTGTAAGGTGCCTATTAATGTGCAGGCTGACTTTGTATCTGTAAGATGAATAGTTGCACACAAGAGGTGGAGTTTGTGCAAAAAAGTAGCAGAAAGTTGTAATTATTTAGTGGAATATGTGATATTTAAATGAGAAACTTCCCTCTGGGCATGTTGTCCCTGCACACTCTAAGATAACTTGCACTTTCCATTCAGTAAATGGCTATGAAATCAAAAAGGAGAAAAAAAAAGACGAATCCTTTCTGCATCTAAATATTAAACATTTACAAAAGGGAGTCTAAGTCAACAGCAGTTATATAGTATTAATACCAATGCTGGTATTGGATTGATATTAGCGTGACAGGATCGATATAAGTTCACAAGGCCTTTTAGGCCAATTAAAATGTGAAAAATTAGCAGATGTTGTGTGCAGTTATAACTATTAAAACACTGAAATTTCTCAAATGAAAACCAGTGAGCAGTTTATTATGAAAGATCGTGTTTTTTCTCTTATTATTGGTCATTATTTAGACAAAAGTGTTTTTATAGGATTACTCGATTTGTGTTAAATATGTTATTTTTAGAAATGAAAAAAAAAAAGTTCTTTTGTGTTGACTGTCAGGCATATTTTATTTATAGCCTTTGGGGCAATTAAGAGAAGTTGAGCCGCTTTGGAGACCTGCACAATTATATTCCAGGTCTCCAAAAAACAAAAAAACAAAACCCAGTTTCAAAATAAATGAAAAGCTGAAAGGTGTTAACTAATTATTCTGGAAAATAAAAATCAGTGATTTAGTAATTACTAAAATATGTTCACAGTTTGCAAACAAATGATTCCTCTCATACATCATAAGCTGCCTATTATAGGCTAAAAGTATCGGTATCGGCAGTACTCGCTCTGTGTTTACTTGGTATCAAATCAAATCAAATCAAATCACTTTTATTGTCACAGCATTTGCAGGATCGCACAGCACTATTTTCAGGACAAAAGACCCCCAGTCTTCACACAGTATCGCGAGATACCTCCCCACCAAACGTGAAGACACCGAGGTGTGTGTGTGTATGTATGTGTGTTTGTGACGCTGCGTGGGGGTGTCCGCCTGATGTCATTAAGCAGGAGGGGAGGTTGAGCTAGCGGTGGGCATACGGGTGGAAAGCATAACAATAACGTCCAGGCTAGGACTCACAGCGTTGCTTTTGGATTGAAATACGCAGTGTTTTAAACTCCGGGCTTCCCATCACTGTGGTCCGGAGCAGGAGAACACAGGAGTCGGGTAGAGGCTGGCAGGCTAACGGACCGAAAGCACCAGATGCTATTCCAGCGGAGAAGGAGAACGGGGTCCCAGCAGCAGCAGAGGGTGATGGGTTCTCGTTTCCCTGACGGGTAACAACAAACCTGAGCTAAAGACAGAAATAAACGCGGATATTGCCAAGTGAGGGGAGCTTTCTTCTGTTCTCCGGCACCTCCGTTTGTGTGACATTGTTCCTGAAATGCTAGCGCAGTTGCGGTCTCGGCCGTCGAGCAGCCTCTGGGCCGCAGCTCGGCACACCGAGCCCGAATCTGGGAAATAGCTAGCTAGCTGTCTGCTAGCCGCAGCTGTACCCCGATGCCGCTGCTGCTGCGGCTGCAGCTGTTAAAACGGATCCAAAAAACAACTCAAGCTGTTTGGGGGCTCGGTGCTGATTAAATTATCGTTTTGCATTAGCGAGCTACAGCAAGCACTTGAGATGTGATGCTTTTGTGCCTCGTATTTGAGCCTTTTGTAGCTGGAGGCTTTCGCTTGGCTGACGCGAAGGAGCTAATGTTGCTGCAAAATGCACAGCAGAACCACAACAGCAGGCTCCTGTTGAAGGGGGCGAGGTTGGACTGATAACGGCCACGGTGTCTCTCAGCACCCCCGGAGTCACATTTTGGACATTTTCCCACGTCATTCACAGCTTTCTCGGCTGGCGACATGGATAAACTAACGATCATTTCAGGGTGTCTGTTTCTGGCAGCAGATATCTTTGCAATAGCCAGCATTGCAAACCCGGACTGGATCAACACCGGTGAATCAGCAGGTAAACAAGGCTGGCCATTTAAAGCACTTTTGTGGGAGTGTGTGCGTGTTCTGTCTTTACATTGCAGCAGCAGCAGCATTGTTTGTAAAGCTGATCGGTTTCATAATTGATTAATCAGCACTTTGGACCTCCGACATAGACTTGTCACTACACTACTTGTTCTTTTCAATCAATCATTGAGCCTATATAGTGTCATAAACATGTACATCATGAGATTGAGGGATGCTCCTGTGTACATCAATATCTACCTTGTTGACAGACAGCTGATGTTTGCATAGCAGTGGCTTATATTTAGTCATTTTTGTAGTGAATGTTTCCCTTTTTTATGACAAAAAGGAGAAATAAATAACAGAAAAACATTTTTTAACAATAGTGGGTCACATTGTTTTCCAAGCATAAAACCCACCTGCAAACAATTACATGAAATTCACAAAGAAAGTGCAAGATATTTGAAAAGCTAGAGCTGGAGACTGTTTCTTTAGGAAAGCTGTAGAACAGCTGGCTGATGAAATGGTGAGCTGAGTGTGTTTTTTAAAAGTAATTTATCAAGGAAGAAAAGACAAATTATTGCTTGGACCACCTTGTAAAATCAGCCATGGATTCCTTTTTTTGATTTCAGCATCTATAAACTCAGCATCTTTAGATTAAAAAAAATCCAGTCATGTTATTGCTTACATATTACTTTCAGACATTAAGAAGATTCATGAAGCACTAAAAGTAATCCTGAGTTAATGCACTTGACTTGACTTTTGAAGCGACCTCCGTGTGATCAGTCCCATAGCCAGCATGTTTATTTGTGGCGCTCCGGCTGATTTGGGATGGAAGCACGTGCTGTTCGGGCCGTTGACAGACAGCTGCTACTCTTTGTTCCCTCTGCAGGATGACAGCTTAGTAACTGGGTCATGGAGGGTTCATCATCCACCAGTACACATGCACACTGCGTTTGCTTGGTGGAATAACTAATCTGCAAAAAAATAAAAAAAGTCTTAATAGGATGCTGATGAAATGAGGACGTTGTCTACAGTGACTTCAATTTGATCGAGCTGCGTAATTGGTCTCCAGTGCAGTTTAGTTCTGGACACTTTGTCTCAGTTCATCTAAACTTAGCACACTGCAGCCACAAGAAGTGTGCATGGTGACTGCACGCTGAGATCTTCACTTCTGTACCTGCATGTGATGAAAGTTGAGCCATTGCTATATTTGAAGTGGAGGATTGTGATGAGTGTGGGCGTTGTTATTGGGGTGGATGTTGTACAGTGATCAGGTTCCCTGTTGCTGTCACTCTTCTCACTTCCCTTCACAGGTATCACATTTCTCTTTGATGACTGAGATGTGGCCACTCTTGGATGGTTTTATGTGGCATGTGGGTGATAAACCACTCGTGTTCATCTTTTTCAAAACCTTTAAAATGGTTTTTTTCTTGTCATTTTAATAATATATGAAGCATTTGAAATGCATAATAGGAGCTTGACGTAGGTTTACAATGAGTGTTAGTCAACGTTATGTAATGTCTTTTCAGTAGTTTCCCACAGATTTGAATTCTCTTTGTGAGGGTAGCACAGTTTTGTGAGTGTTTCAATGGAGGAGGGACAAGCACACTAAACAGTTCTGTTTATTAGGGCTCCTTGATTATGGTAAAAGTATGGTAATCATAATCTGAAGTATTTTGTTCAGTGTTGGGATTGCAGTTATTTACCATCATATAGGCGTTGGAAAAATGTAGCTTTAATCTGTTTGTCCACTTCGGGGTTGTGAGTGGGCTGGATTCTGTCTCAGCTGTCCGTAGGATGACAGGCAGGAATGCACCCTGGACAGGTCGCCAGTCTGTTGCAGGGCATTCATGCTCACATTTAATTCAGAATCCTCAATTAACCTAACCCATGCATGTCTTTGGACTGTGGGAGGAAGTCAGAGTGGCTGGAGAGAACCACCAACCAGACTGGATTCAGTACCAGGAACTTCTGGCTGTGATGTAACCTTGCTAACCACTACACCGTTGTGCTTCCTGCAATTTCTTTAGTCTTTTAATTATATTTCAACAAAACTAAAAATTCTACTTAAAGGCAAAATGAGCACATGATTGCAAAACAGTGTCATTTTCATTAGAATTTAATTTGATTAAATACACAGCCTTGTAGTGGATTTATGTCTCTGTTCCCAAATCTGTAAAGCCAACTTGCATAGGCTATTTTGTAGGTTCTATATAGATTCATTTCAGATGTGTGTATTAAGCTTTACTTGGATTGGATTGGTTGGATTTAGCAGCTTTAACAACTTAAGGAGTTATACTCCTTAAGTTTAGAATTTGTTTCTAACAAACCAAAATGTGGTTCTGTTTCTTAATATACTTTTCAACACCTTAAGGATGCTTATAACCAATATGTAGTTCAGTTTTATTTTTATGCATACATATAATTGAAGGCACTTTATATGGTAAGGTAACCTTGTAAGATATTAGAGATGGGACAATCAAGTGATCCTCTATGACGAGTAATTTGGCAACAGTGGGGTGGAAGAACCCCCTTTTAACAGGGAGACACATTCAGCAGAACCAGGCTCAGGAAGGGGGGACAATTTGCTGTTATCTATTGGGGTACAGAGAATAATACCAATAGAACCAATTGCAGTAGTCATGTAAATCCTGATATTATGGTTTAGAATGAGACAGTTATTCATTACCACAATGGTGTTATAATTAACTGCACATCACTATATCAAAGTGCATTATTCCTACTCTTTCACTATACCAACTACAAAAATGAACACACATGCACGCCGGCACTTTCAGTGTATGTGGGAAAACTGAACATGCTTGTCATCATAGACACAAATCAAACCCCTTTTAGCCCAGTGGTTCTCAGACTTCTTCTGCAGGCCCTCCCCTCTCAAAGATTAAAAAAAATGTTCAAACTACTCTTTCCCATCCTTACAGTGAACCAATATAAACACACACTTGCATTGCACATATAAAATTTCAGTGTGTGAAATTACTGGAAAAAGGAATGCAGAACAAATTGTATTGTAAAAGTGGTGTTTTACCTAGTTTGGCTTCATTCTCGCCCACACTAGGGATCATCATTTTTCATTGATTTTTCTCTGGGAACTATTTGACTGTCCATCATTAACATCCTTCCAGGCACCAGTTAAAAATATTTTAGGCAGAAAATGGTCTCATGAAGAATTTTTTATTGTTATGTATAACTTGAGTGTTTGAAAGGCTCTGTGGTCTTTCAGCATGTATGAGATATGCAGCATTACGTTTTGTGGTTTTTCTATTTCTATCTGACTTTTGGTGTTCGTTAATTTGCCTTAGGGCTACTTGTCATGCCTTAAGCAAACTTGTCCATGCCTTGCTAGCAGTGCAGAGCTTTCTTTAACATCAGTGCCTCACACTGATCCCTATATATAACTACAGGACCTCCCAGGAGTCTAAACCATTGCCTTCCTATTTTCAAAAAAAACCTGGACAAACTAAATATTTTTGGACAGCACTACTATGCAAATGAGACAAAAATGTAAGATCTTCTAGTAGCTTCACACAGCCATAACCTTTCATTTATGTATTTAAAAAAAAGAAGAGAGAAAGAAAGACCTGAGTTTATCAGTGTATTGTGAGCTGTTGCCATTAATTGGTCTACCTCGTACAATACCTTGTGGCATTATTTGAATCTAAGGAGTGAGAATCCCTGATAACTCCTCACATTCCAGCCAGCTGTGTCCTTCAGCTTTGTTGTTGTCTTATCCGAAAGCTCAGTGCTTCCCTTAAAGGACCTCGGCTCGCCATCTTTAGTGTATTTGTACTCGGAGCACTGAGAAACGGTCGCATTGACCTTTCTCAAGACATATGGAAGTTTTGCCTCCGTCTGTCGTGTGAAGGCATGATGAATAAGCGACTTAACATGTCCTCAGAAAATCATTTGGCACAGATTGCCTCTTCTTGTTATTGCCTGCAGTGATTGCAGTTGGGTTTGGTTCACGTAAAGACAACCCCCCTGTAAAAGTGCCCAGTACGAGGGTGACCACTGTTCTCCCTCAGCACTGCAGACAGAGAGAGTGGATCCTTGACTTTGTCCTCATCTCAGTGTGATATTCTCAGGCCGTAACAGCAGAGGCTGATTTCCTGCAACGAGCTTGAAGACAAAGCCATTGTTACAGCAATGTCAGACACAAACTGTGACTCTCAAGAGCTCCGCCAACGACTGCCCTCCTGCAGATACTCATCACTACAGTGGATGTCTTTCTCTTGAGCCTGAGTAACCTCTGAAAGAGTGTGTGCAACTCGCACTTAAAAATGCATAACACCTCTGTGGTTCAGGATGCCGGATCCAAAGCCGTTGATGACATACGTACCATCGTTTTTAACTTTAATTTCAGTCTCAAACCTTAAAGGCAACCACTTCACAAAATCAATTTTGTACAAGTGCTCTTGTCAGTAGAGCGCACCAACACTTACCGTTCCAACAAAACTCTTTCCTGAGATTACTTTGGATGTGTTTTATTGCATGCAGTGAGCTACTGAATGAGCTGAAATAAACAAAAAGTCCTGTTGATGTGCTCAGAAGGCGGTAGTAATGACTTATCAAGTAAGTTCCTGACACATGCATTTACGTTTTTATCATCATCACTTATTGTAAATAACCTACCCACTACAGGAATTTTCCATTTAAGCATGAGATGTTTATATTACCCCTAAGTGCCTGCTAGTCAGTATCACTTATGTAATAATAAACAGACAAATTTATTTTCGACTGCATCAGCTCTAATATGCTTCTGTGGGTTTTGATTGTGCTCGAAAATCTAAATGGACTATGTTTAGAGGAGTTAATGATGGTTTAAAGTGGACTGATTTCAGCAACTTGCAAAAAAAAATAATGAAAAAAAAGATTGTAAAACCACAAACAATTACATAACACTGAAAGGCTACAGCAACGCTTGGCAAAATTACAGTATAGTGAGTCAAGTGCCGAAGAACTGCTGCTGTAATTCTGACAATACCTAAA